ATACTGTCCAACTGACAATATGATTGCGGATTTCATGACTAAGCCATTGCAAGGTGAGAAGTTTCGCAAGTTCAGGGATCTGATTCTTGGTCCACAGGACTAGGTCAGACAAGTATGTATATGTTCAGAAGAAAATACAAAACAAAATAAACAGTGAATGAGAGCATGTCCCATTGCTGCCAATGGTGATTGTCACAATGGCAGGAGTGTGTTGGGATATGACGAAATATGAGTTTTTACGTTCTGAAAAGAAACTATTCAAGTACAAAGTTTTTGACACGTACGATCGGACTTTGATTGTGATGTCGGGATTTGACGCAAGTATGCCGGATGCAAGTCTGTTGGACAATCTACATCCACACAAAAAGGGAATGTGATATCGATGTTGTGTACAATGCAGTAGGGAATAATACAAGATGTCCCAAAGTAATGCATCCAACACAGAATTGTCGTAGAGGTCAAATCAAGTTCTGTAAACAAGGGATTTTCCACTGGAAAATCGTTGAACTTACTTTTGTGATTGAATCATCAATTCAAGCCAAACATTAATCAAATAGGAACAATTTCACTCAAAGTATACCTAGACAATAATAATAATAACTGAAACATTAATCGATTAAATGCTATCTAGCGCATACGATTGCCGGTGGAATAAGCGGCTGTAAAGGTCAAGTACCGTGAAGCGACGAGGCAACAACTAGTTTGAACCATTGGAGACATCTGGTGGACAGAAGTTGCTCTAGTCAGGATCGAGGGGATCCCAACTCTACCCGCGACAAGGCGGTGTTATTTTGGGGCGTTGATTCCTTGAAACGGGATTAGGGGGCCGGGGCCAGGTGGAAGAAGCGGTGAAGAATACGGCGTTGGGGCGCCAGAGCGCGGCGATAGGCCGTGCGTTCCATTCTAACCAGCTTCAACCACTCTTCCCTATCGACCAACGGCTTGTTCAACACCGTTTGGCGTTTCACAGCAAGCATGCGTTGAACTACCTTGGGGAGGTCGGTTGGGCCCATACCGTCGTTCACCACTCGGCTACGTTCGCGTAGCTGTACGTTGTCCTCCGAATGTTGCACCAAGTTCCGGTGTTCCCACATATGAAATCCAAGCAAGATCAGCTGGGACGCACCACAACGTCAAACGCACGCCCGAAATCTGTCCGTCTAGATTGTTTTGAGGATTTTTTAGCTCCAAATAATTTTTATGTGTCCGTTAAAATGCTCTGCGACTTTGACGCGGGACGTTTCTTTTGACGCAGGAATGACGCGAGTTGCGTTAGTTTGACACATGGTTGCCTCAGTTTGACGCATAGTTGCGTCAGTTTAACGCCGATTCCGCGTCAGCTGACGCGGGTTGCGTCAATTTAACGCGGGCCTGCATGTCTTGGACGCGGGACGAAAGCCGCGTACTGGTATCATTTCCAAAAAGATTGGAGTGTGTGTGAATGAATGAGAGTTTGAGTTCCCACTCTCATTCCAATGAGAGTTGCCCATTTTTTGAACAATGGATCTGATGGAAATTGACAAAGCTGGGGCACATAATGGCATTGATGCTATTTTCCAAGCAAGAAGCAACAACCTTCTGAATGAGGAGTTTGAAGCCCTTGATGAAATTCATCAACAGATATCCCTGTCTTGCTCATCAACGGAATCTAGGTCTCCACAGTCCCATGTAGACAACTTATATGCGCGACACTCGCGCATGAGGCATAATACAATAGTCGTACGAGTCGATCTTCTGATTTCAGTGCAGATTTGAGTGACTGCCAAAGCAACGTTGGTTCATCATTTTGGTAAAAACTACAGAAGAGCAGTGCAAGTTTTGTAATAGGACTGTACTAAGTTTAAAAAGCAACTGAACTGAACCAATTCCTTCTGACTTTATCCTCGTTTCTTCTGAACAAATGTTGCTTCAGATATTGGCTGAAATGTTTTTCGAACAACTTTTTCTCTTTCTTCACTGAGTGGTTCGTCTATGTGCTCCTTCTTCCATCTGCTGACTACATCATCGGCAATCAAATTTCTGAGCGTGCTGTAGTTGATAGAAATAGGTTTACCTTCATCGTAAGCAGCCTTGTCAGTTTCACTGAGAAGTTCTCGAGCAACAGCCTCAAGGACCATTGCGTTCATATTCTCGCCTTTCAGACACTTTGCGAAGACAATTCTTCCAGCCACGTGCGGAGTTATATCTACCCCTTGCTGTTTCTCTCGTGCCGATCTTCTGTGATTCATTCCAAATGCGTTTGTCACTTGGGCAGCATATTCTTGATTTTGTCTTGTACTTACATGCGCGCTCTTGTCACAGAGATTTGCCATTGTGATCTTCAATTTGCGCTGATACTCTTCTTTGTCCACTGCTTTCTGTTCCTCAACGTATTTGTACAGCCTGAGACTATGTTTCAATACATTTTCCAGTCGCGCAGGACCGCGGCTCAAATCCTCATTATACTCTCCACCATATCTGGACTCTTCCGTGGAAAATTCCAATACCTTCATAAGCCTTGCTCTCTTCAGTTTCACGGTAGAACAACTGAAACCAGTGATGCTTCAATAAGGTATGTTTGAGAGCAATGAAGCTACCCGCCAGAACGTCAAATGGGCTCTGTGGCGATTCAAGCTTGGCCTGTTGTAGACAGGGAAGTTTGAAGAAAGAAATATCTAGAAAATTACTTTCGTGTCCAGATTCATCATTGCGTCTTTCTGTAGTGTTTTCATCATTGCGCTGCTCTTCACTTGGCTCATCATGCATAGACGATGCATCCTCAACATCATCATCATCATCATCATTGTAATGGAGTTCATTGTTGCCTACTCCATGATCATCATCCTCACTTCCATCGCCGATTTCCATTTCATTCGCAACCTTCTTCCTTCTTTTCGATTGCCTCATGCTGCTGCTGCGGGATGATAGATTGCGGGGTGAAAGAGGATGAGCTTTGCATCCGTCCCTTGTGAACCAGCGTTGGCATTGATTTGAAATCGCTCCCGCGGTGTAACGACATATTAAAGTTTGGTTTGGACCCACACATTGTTTGAAATCGTTCCCGCGGGGTTTTGATGTGAGGAATGTGTTTTCAGTTTCAGATCATGTTTGCCTATTAACAATTGGTTACATTTCCGTTGGACAATAAGTAGTTTAAAATTGATAGGACATTGATTGTTATAAAACGTGACATTGAGGCTAGAAGAAATAAATTTTGAATAGTTTCGCAGAAAACTTGAGTTAACACTCCCTCCTGAACGACAAGGTGCGCATATTTTTTCCAACATCTCATTGGACGCCATGATCCTAGTTTCGGCCTTTGGAACTTCATCAAATAGTGTTAGACCTTTCAAAATAGCTTTAGGACATCGACTTGGACAAACCACTACAACCTCACAGTATTCTGATCTGAGCAAAGTTGTCTACGTGGGACTGTGGAGACCTAGAATCCCCCAGATATAGTACTGCTCAAAAATCTTGTAGAAAAAATATTTGAGAATGGATTTGGCAATGTTGGAACTGACCTTTCTTCCATAGGCATACTTGGCCAGGGATCTGGCAATGTCTCCTATTCCTTTCAGGATCTTTCTGCTCTCCTTGTCTCAATTGTTTAGGGACTTATTGCATCCAGCATTCTTGTTGAACACCAAAAAACGGGGTAGTATGTGTCTTTTGCAAGATGAAAAAGTTCCAATCATTGCAAGGTATTTGGATCCATAACTATGATAAGCATACACTTGCGGTACTAGTTGCTGTCCTGGAATCAATCCAAATTGGTTTAGAGCTTGGAACTGTGTAATTTGGGATATTAAGCCAAGTACTCCTGATAAACGCCTCCCTTGAGTTTGATGCGGGATTGACGCAACTGCATCTGTTTGACGCGGGATTGAAGCAATTTCTTGAGTTTGACGCGGGATTGACGCAACTTGCGTCAATTTGACGCAGTTTCCTGCGTCGCGCGTCAATTTGACGCAAACATTTGCCTCAAATTTGCGTCAATTTGACGCAGATTTGCGTTAATTTGACGCAGATTTGCGTTAATTTGACGCGGGGCGTGCCCGTTTTTGCGTCAGATTGACGCACGGGGCATGCCCGATTTCCACAGTGCGCCCGCGCTAAATGGAAACGGACACTTAACCTTTTCCAATAAAACCATTTTTAACTATTAACGGACATTTAAATTGCGTGCGTTGCACGTTGTGGTGCGTTCCTGATGCGACAGGCGAGAGACCCACAGGGTCGGAGAGCGTTGGCTCCCTCGTGACTATATATATAACTGAATCATTAATTGGTATTTATGCTACTTCTAGAGTATCCAACTGCCGGTGTAATACGGCTGTAGAGGCCAGGAACTAGGTTGCTGTTGGTCAACAAAGTTTGAACCACGTTGAGGCGTTCAATAGAGGAACGTTGCTCGCAGTTGAAGGTCAAGGACAATCGGCTCTGCCACGCGAGGTGGGTGGAGAATATGTATGTGTTAGACTGGGGTACGTGTGGCTTGTGATGTACCAGTACCAGAATCACTTTGGTAAATATGTAGACAAGTAAGTCAGGGGGCTGCTGGGCGAGGAGT